ATCAGAAGTTTAAACTAATATGGCTTAAAACGCATGATTTCAGCACGATAAACATGATAATCAGAACCAAAACAGATGTTTTTAGCAGATACAAGCTGTAATGATGCAGCTCAATTCTGGAAAAGGGGGCGGGGAGCAGCAGCTCATTTGCATTTAAAGAGACAGGCCCGAAAAACAGTGTATTTCTGCTTCCACTCAAAATAGGCATTTTCAAAATGATATAATAAATGATCTGTGGAGTATTTTGAGCTGAAACTTCACAAACACATTCTGGGGACACCAGAGACTTATATTACATATTGTAAAAAGGGGCATAATATGTCTCCTTTAAATAAACTGAAGCATTTGTTTAGTAAAGATTCACCTGGGTGGTAATGACATCAGGGCTCAAGGTCTCAGTAAGAGTACAGTTCCAATTTCACATTCAGAACACCAACGGCTACTTTACATTCACTGCCTGAGGAAAAAATACACATGCACACATGCCCATTAACAAGTTTTGAGGACTAACACCCTTTAATGCATTCTTTAAAACTTAAATGTATAGTTAACCTAAAAAGTCTCCAAAAGAAGGTAATTTGAAGAACGTTGCAATTGTTTTTGTTTATAAAATTGAAAGTTAAGGACCCCCATCAACTTTAAATGTACAGTTCAAAACGTTAGTCAAAATATCTTCTTTTATGTTCCACAAAAGAAAGCAAGTCATACAGGAATGTTATAAGGATGAATAAACGATCAAATAATTTTCATTTTGGGTGAACCGTGTGTTATGAAAGGAAAATGTTCACCTTTAATAATTTAATGACATTTGCTTACCCACTCCCAGCAGTTCTACTGAGACATTGGTTTTCCCATTGGGAGTACCGAGAACTCTCCGCCAGTCAAGAAAAGAGAAGTAAATTAGTGTTGTGTCCCCAGTCGTGTCTGTTTTAATCAGCACCATATGCACTGGATCACAGATGGACAGCATAGTGGTATCATCAGCCATCTTGCTAGCATCTCCTGTGTCATAACAAAAACACATGACAGGTTCTTGAAATGAAACGGAGTACATTATAGACTGCTAGAAAATGCAGGGTTGCTTAAGACACCTGGGCCATCTCTGTGGACTTCCAGAAGAAAGCCCTCCTGTAGGTCAGGAGGTTCACAGGTGCATGGGACTGGTTTGGAGCAGAAGCGCTGGTTGCGGAAGTGGAGATGAAGGGTGAAAGTAGAGCACACCTGACCAGGTAAAGGTTCTGGCTCCTGCAAGTGTTCCAGGAAGGCCTTACCGCCCAGAACTTGGAAGTAGAGGTATCTCCTTAGTGGACTGATGTTAGCTGGTGCAATTTTTTGGAAGGGTTAGCTCACTCAAAAAAGGAAATTTCATCATTTACTTGGGACACAAAGGATGTTAGACAGTAGGTTTATGTTGCTCTTTTTGCAAAGACTTTGGTTCATCTTCAAAACACAAATGAAGATATTTTTAATGAAACCTGATTTTTATTTAAAGCTACCAGTCCATTGAAAGTCCAATCCACTAAATCTTTGACACTTCAATTAATCCACATATCATATATAAAATTGTATGTCAAATGTGTGATATCTAAGCCATAGTTGTCATTTTCTAAATCGTCTTTGTAGCAGTACAAATGAGGGACTGGTCATTACATGGTTATGACTGGAGTTGAACGACTGGAACAATGATCAACACATATGCACTGAGCACATTAAATACAGTCAATGGAAGCTCAAATGTGCTTGCGAAAATCAATGAGGTTTGTTATTTGATTTGCTGTATATATGTGCATCCATCAGTTTATATGTGAATAAAAGCATAAATTAAAGCTAATAAAAGTAATCAATATGAACCGAGCAGTATAATGCAACTCTTCTGAGGAGACACGATCACTTCATATATGATAGATTTAATTTAGGCTTTAATTTGCATTTAAACACTGATCGATGCACATACTGTACATACAGCACATCAACTATGATAAACAGAAGCTCAACCATATTTGGGGACGTGTTTGAAGACCAACGTTTTGGTGGACTGCACTTTCGGTAGAGGGACAGGAATCTCATTAAAAATGTCTTCATTTGTGTTTTAAAGTTGAATAAAATGATAGAATGACCCGAGGGTTGCAGACTTGTTCACAGTATCAGGTTTAGTGTGAGAAACATCCTGATGGAAAACCAACTAGTCATTTAAAGAGATATAAAATATCTATGCTTTGATAAGGAGATGCATTCATTTTGCAATCTCAATGTATGTAAAACATGCATTGTATACATACCACATTTGTGAAGTGGAGATCTTTCATCACATCATCCACGATTCCTCTCCGCTGGGGAGCATGTATGAAGTCCTCCTCAGAGAGGGAGCGCTGTCCATGGTGCCCATCACCTCTTACTGTCTCCGCTAAAACATCACGAATTTTACCATGGACATCCATCTGAAAATGGGTTAGGCAAGGCAAGGCAAGTTTATTTATAGAGCACATTACATACACAATGGTAATTCAAAGTGCTTTACATAAAAGGAAGTAAAATAAACATAAACATAAAAAATAATCACAACAATAAAACAAGGAATTTAAAAACGTTTAAAATGATTTAAATGAATTTCAAATTAATTTAAAAGTGTTAAAAACAGGGAATTATTATATATAAAATACAGTGCTCGTTCTATAAATGCACAGCTAAACAGATGAGTTTTGAGTCTGGATTTAAATGTGGCTAATGATTTAGCACAGGGGTGCCCAAACTCGGTCCTGGAGGGCCGGTGTCCTGCAGAGTTTAGCTCCAGCTCGTCTCAACACACCTGCTTGGAAGTTTCTAGTATGCCTAGTAAGACATTGATTAGCTGCTTCAGGTGTGTATGATTAGGGTTGGAGCTAAACTGTGCAGGACACCGGCCCTCCAGGACCGAGTGTGGGCACCCCTGAATTTTTAGCACATCTGATCTCTTCTGGAAGCTGGTTTCAACTGCAGCTGAAAGCGGACTCCCCTTGTTTTGAGTGAACCCTTGGTATTTCTAACTCGATCCTAATGATCTGAGTGGTCTGTTAGGCTTATATTCAGTGAACATATCTGCAATGTATTTAGGTCCTAGGCCATTGAGTGAGTTATAAACAAGTAAAAGTACTTTAAAATCAATCCTAAATATAACTGGAAGCCAGTGTAAGGACCTGAGGACTGGTGTGATATGCTCAGATATGTTAGTTGTTAAATAACAACATTAGGACATTTTCAATATCAAGATGTAGGTTTATATTAGGTTTAGGTTGTATTAAGATTTTTCTTCTTCATTTTTTGAAAGAAGTCTCTTACGCTCACAAAGCATTTATTTGATCAAAAACACAGTGGAAACAGCAAGACTGTGAAATATTATTACAAAAAGCCCTGTTTTCTATTTTAATACATTTTAGCATGCAATTTAGTACTATGACGTTACTCCAATGCTCAGTGCCACGTGATCCTTCAGAAATCATTCTAATATGCGGAATACATTTCAAAATATATTAAAATAAAAATGTCAAATTCTAAGAACAGTTAACAATATTACAGTTTTTTTTAGATCAAATTAATGCAGCCAAGCTGAGAATAAAATAATTTCTTCAAAACATAAAAAACCTCTTATTATAAATGTGTTTACTTAAAAACTGCATGCGTGGTAACTGCACAAATATTACACGATATAGAAGTGTAGCGTTGGTGGTCGGTTGTCATGTCAACCACCAGCACAAACAACAACAACAACATCGGAAAACAAACCGTAATGTTTTTCTTGTACAACTACACAATTATTTTATTCATATAAAATGATGTAAAACAGAAATATAATGGTTTCTGACATAATTTCCTCAACAACAAACAGCTCGTTACTTTAGCTTACCTTGATTAAATGGTCATGGATTAACGTTACTTGTTTTAATTCAGTTGCTTTTTCTGGTGGCAGGGACATGTTTTCGAGCGTGAAAATAGCAACAGAGTCTAAAATTTAGAACGCATTTGAAGTCAACGTCTGCAACATATTCATATTGATTTCGCTCTGTTGCTGGATGCGATGTAAATGTCAACGCTTTCTGCAACTAACATTTTAAACCCTGGCGGAAAGGCAAGCAGGAGTGTCATCACAGCGCCTGTGTATCTTCGCAGTTGCGGTTTTAAAATACACTAAACGCTGTAAAACAAAAACCTAACTACGTTACATTACGTTTACCGAACGATAGTGTTCATGAGCTTTGATACTTTACGAATTCGGAGATTCTAGAAAATATTAAACTCGCATTCATACTTCGGAAATGACGTCACGGCATTTCAGCCCCTGGATCTTGTAGTTCTCTCGTTAAGCATAAACTGTACTTTCTCTGGAATAACAGTCGGTGTTGGGGAAAGTTACTTTTAAAAGTAATGCATTACAATATTGCGTTACTCCATAAAAAAGTAACAATCATTTTATGAATGCAAATGAGCTCGAGAAACCAGAAAAGCATATGCACAGCAGATGCCTGAGACAAGAAATAATAATGCAAATAAACTTCTTTAGTAAAGAGTTTACTATGTACATTTTTGAAAGTGGAAACCGGACCACTTATTACATTTGGTTGAATCTACATTCAGTTTATTACTAGAAGATCCTGAGATGTGCATGTACGGAAACTCACTGGGCTTTGACCTACTGAAACAAATGAGTCGCCCTATGAATATCCATGCGGAAACTTAGCAAACAGACGCATTTAATAAACTGACTCAGTAGGACCGGTGGGGGTCTATTTAACATTGCTCCGCATATAAACTCACACAAAATACTGTACAGTGAAAGTTGTTAGGCCTCGAGAACTTACCATGATGGAATTACAATAGTAGTTACAATGTAACTACATCATTCGTTACATTGTAATAACCACATATGACACAAACATTCAATAAATCATTGAAGAACATCCGGGTATGAATGCTTGTAAACACGATCATTCTACATTTTTTTTGTCCCTTTTTCTAGAAACATCCAAGCACCTACTAATATGAGTACCATAATTTGGGTCCCTGTGCAAAATAAAAGACAGGAAGTGGAATCTGTGGGATAAAACCGCATTACTGGGACAGAAAAGCCCAGCACATGCACAGTCCCAGTGCTACAGCTGCACCAGCACCGACATTTAGGAGAATTGGTTTCCAAAATAGCCACTTCTCTTTTGTCTTCTCCGAATCGCTTAGTTTCAGCTTCATGTGCTGCACCCTCTGTGCCGTGCTGGCTATCCGCTCCTCACGGTTCAGCTTGCATAAACTGGAAGTAATAACAACACACATATGGTTGATTACTTCAGATTTTCTAATAAGTAAAAAAATGTGAGCTATTTTCCTGGTATTGGCACAACTACATCGCATGTCCTTTTTCTAAATATACTGTATTTTCACAAAGTTTTGGTTAAAAAAAAAAAAAAAAGAGTCATATGAAATATTACTGCAATTTAAAATAACTGATTTATATATATATATATATATATATTCCTGTTATGGCAAAGCTAAATTGTCAGTGTCACAATCCTTTAGAAATCAATTGTTGTATGCTTTATCTAACATAAAAAAGAATGGCAGCCTACAGAATGGCAGTTCAAATGCTCTAATATA